AAGTGTATGATATATGCAACCCTTTAAGCTTCTCACAAAAAGTAATAGAAGTAGCAATTGTGTATAATAGAAAAAAATTATTATTTGTTTGATAATAATACTCATACTCAAAGGCATATACCTAACATAATGCTATAATAAATTAGGCAATCGTTTCATTAATTTTCACCCCCGCAAGCTGGTTTATCGGGAAACTATGTTAACGACTTTCAAAGATTATTGAACCAGTAATGAATTAAACAAGAATTACTTTTTTTATTACTTGTATACAAATTATTTATGTTTCTAGATTACCACACATTAATAAATAGGTAAAGATATGTTCATGTTTTCATTTTTGTTAGATATTTTATCACTAACCGTTTGAAAATTAAAATGATTGATAAATAATTGAGTGTATTTATTTACCTGTCTTTCAGTAAGATTAAGGGCAGTAGCAATCTCATATCTTCGCAAACGTGTTAAATAATTAGAGTTTTCAAATTCTGCTTCCAATTCTGAAATTTGTTCTTTAGTAAACGCTGTTCGTTCTTTTCTGGATTTAGGGGAGCAGCAAGATGAGTGATTATCTGTAAAACAATAAAAAGATAAATAAAATTATGATTAAAAAATAACAATATATTGAAAACTATGTGCTAATCTGCCTGTTACCTGTTATTACTACATCAGTTTCTCTGTAATTTTTATGTTTCCATGACTCACAGACAACAGTATTCCAACATGGTAATTTTTTATCATATCGATTACGGTATCGATCGATGTTATACAAATCATCAAAACTTTTATGCGCGCCATTTTTCGATTCAATTTTGTTAAAATGATTTTGTTCCTTTAAGTTTTTACATTTTTCACTCACTTTTGTCGCAAAAGGCGTACTACTGCTGGGTAACCAATCTAACCACGTGTTATAATAATGATCGGTTCTTTGAATATCATTTTTCATCCAACGAAATTTTGAAGTAAAGTCGTAATTTAGGATAGGAAAAGTGAACTCTGTATTGTCCATTTCAAATGATGAATAAACACGCTTCTGAAACTTGTTAGCGCAAAAACTGATGACAAATGAACGGTCGAGGGTGGAACACCTCAGGTTTTTGTTTCTATTTCCTGTCTGCCTGTCTCGTACACTTGGAAGATCCAATAGGAAACCAGTGAATTTATTCTAAGTGGATTGAAATAGCTTAATTGGTTGGAACGTCAAGAATGATATTTTTCATCTGCATTTCAATTTTAATGAAACAACAACTTTTCTTTTCATCGTCAATAATGAAAATGTCTAACTGTTATTTTATCAATTTATAAGAAAAAAATCACTAAAATGTATGCATTCTTATAGTTATACAAAAATTTAAACATAAAAAAGCGCCCCCGAAATTCGTAGGAAATAAAAGGTATTTAGTAAGCTTTAAGGAGTGATAATTATGTAAAAATGTACGTAGAATCTAATGGTATCAACGGTTTTCCAATGCGGTGTCAATTGAGGTAGTTTCCGGTATCATTTATGCTAAAATGTATTAAATAATGTAACAACGAAATAGCGCTCATGAAATTATTGGGAAATGTAAAGTATTTAATAATCATTTAAAAGTGATTATGATGTAAAAATGTACGTAGAGTCTAATGGTATCAACGGTTTTCCAATGCGGTGTCAATTGAGGTAGTTTCCGGTACCATTTATGCTAAAATGTATAAAATAATGTAACCAGGAAATAGCGCTCACTAAATTATTGGGAAATGTATAGTAGTTAATAATCATTAAAACGTGATAATCATCTAAAAATATACGTAGAATCTAATGGTAACAACGGTTTTCCAATACAGTGTCATTTGAGGTAGTTTCCGGTACCATTTATGCTAAAATGTAGTAAATAATGTAACAACGAAATAGCGCTCACGAAATTATTGGGAAATGTAAGGTACTTAATAATCATTAAAAAGTGATAATTATGTAAAAATGTACGTAGAATCTAATGGTATCAACGGTTTTCTAATGCAGTGTCAATTGAGGTAGTTTTCGGTACCATTTACGCTAAAATGTATTAAATAATGTAACAACGAAATAGCGCTCATGAAATTATTGGGAAATGTAAAGTATTTAATAATCATTTAAAAGTGATTATGATGTAAAAATGTACGTAGAGTCTAATGGTATCAACGGTTTTCCAATGCGGTGTCNGCTATTTTTACAAACTTTGTTGTATTTTCCACTTAATATATAATTGATGTAATAAAAATGGGAAAATACAAAATAGTTTCCATTGCAGTAATAAGAAATGTTGTAAATTACCTATTAGAATAATTGTTTTTGGCAAATTATCAAATTCACTGTCATGAGGACCATTACCATACTCTTATTGACCCTACTTCTGTATAAAATACTGAAAATAGCTGACTATTTAAATTTTTGAAATACATAAAATTACTTTAAGGTTTTCGTTAATTGTTAAAGAAGAAAGATTTAATTTTTTCACACTGGTAAAGAGGAACTGGAGCTAAACAAAAATTATGCTGTAACTCCAGTTTCCTTTTTTTATTAGAATAAAACAACACATGAGGGTATTGCCTCAGCCTTTTACCTCAGTAAAGCTGAAGAAAAGTCCAATCCAACCGCATAGTTTAAAAGCATAATTAATTGTCTTCTGTAGCTTATTCATACAAGAGTCACATTCACAGGTGGGATTATGATCATGATCAGGGCAGCATTTTGGCTATAAAAATTGATATATTAATTCCATATTAATATAGCATGTACCTACTTATTTTATAATCTTAATTAATGATTTACCTCAATTGACTCACAACTTGGATGTCCCATTTTAGAGTTGTTTGATTTAATTTCCTTATCAAATCCACAACAAGTGAACACTTGCTGAACCTTAGCTTTCGTGCTGTTATCAACACGTCCCCAACCCTACACATATATAAATTGAAACATAGTGACAATATTAAAAAAACACATTAAACTCACCTGTTCTGCCAATTGCTGCTGTTGTTCCATATTAACCCCCAAGCATGCACAAGCAACTGAAAACTGGATTAAAAACAAAAGGAAAAGAATTACCATATACTAATAAATATTAAGGAAAAATCACCTAAACATATGTAGGATAAATTATTACATGAAGCAATTAAAGGATACAAAGAATAACATAACTTGATGGTGCTTCACTGCACCAACCAGTCCAAGTAAAGAAATTAGAAAAAGTATTATTCCACATGCTAGAATGCCTCCCACAATGGGCAAATTGGTCACCAAAGATGCTGCCCTTCCATATACAGCAACACCAGTCAATACAAAGGCTACTAACTAAATAAATATTACAATAAAGGATAATTATGATGTATCTGTTTTCTGTTATGGCAAACATCAGATACTTACAATGTAAAGAACGTTTAATGAAATAAGGGCATTTTTAGAACAAGTAAATCCTCCACACATTTTTTAGCACTCAAACTTACGACACTATTTATAATTTAATGGAACACTTGAAAAGTTCCACAAATTAATAAGACCGCTTCATAGATTGCCCAGTTCTTCAACAAACAAGATACAAATTAATCAATCAACATCAATAAAACTTGTGAAGTTAGTTGACATTCAAATCATCTTTCAAATAGCAACGAAGTGAGCAGCTATTTCCCTTTTTCAAAATTCTGTTAAACTGGTAATAATGCAGATAATTTTTAAATATTAACAAAATTTTTAGAATACTGTTTGTTCCTGGAAAACGTAATTTACAATTTATTTAATGTATTAACTTTGATAAATCTACATAGTCTTTGAGTTAATATCAGTACCATAGATCAGTATTAGTACCTACATTCATTGAAGTGGAGTATCATTCATTGAGTGAAGTATCTGTAGTCTAGTTCAATGCCTACATTTGTCTATGACCTACATCAATCTATGAATTCATAGATAAACACATGTGGTTAGTTGTCTTAACCTCAACTTTTTAACACTTTCTGTAATACAGTAATTTTAATACTTAATTAAAATAAAGACCTAACTGGAACAATTAAGGATGCTGGAGACTATTTCACTTAAGAAGAAATCACAAAAAAAGGTCACACTTCGTACTGTAAAGATTAAACATGGACTGAAGGTACATAACCTAGTACTAATTCTTCATTCATTTAATAAAATACCTTTTATAGACAGGGAAAATTAAATTACTGGAAAAGATTGTTAAAAGACGCATGAAAGGAACAGGAATAGTACTGCTAAAACATCTACCTCATGGATTTTTTGAAAATGAACTACGCAAATACTTCTCTCAGTTTGGGGAAGTGCTAAATGTTGTATTATGTAGGTCTATGAGGACAGGGCAAAGCAAAGGATATGCTTTTATTCATTTTGCTGAAGAGGAAGTTGCCAAAATTGCAGCAGAAACCATGGATAATTATTTAATGTTTAAAAAGAGAATGATTGGTAAAATATGTTAACATTATCTTTTGTTATTCTTTCTAAAGTTTTTTGTATCCTCACAGCTCAATTTTTAACTCCATCTGAAGCTCCTTCGATGATATTTAGAAGAAAACCAATAACTCCCACAAATATACCTTTGAAAAGGATTAGAGATAAAATGAATAAAAGAAAAAATGCAACACTGACTCAAAGTCAATATGAAGAGAAATGTAAAAAAAAACTTTATAAATTACGAAAAGTTACAAATAAGCTTGCCAAATTGGGAATCGATTACAATGTAACTGTCCAGAATGCACCCAATCTAGAACAGAATAAGGAAAAAGTATCTAAGAAAGGCAAAAATATTGTTGTTAAAAGTACTGATAATGAAATAGAAAAAACAAATGTTAAAGGCAATAAAAAAGACAGGAAAACGAAGTCTCCAACTATAAGAAAACTAAATGAAACTGTAAAAACAGGAGAAGCACGTGCAGGTATGAAGAATGTAAATAAATTGTCTTTAAAGAATATACCCATGAAATCAAAATCTCCAAATAAAGTAGAAAAGACAAATAAGACACTTGAAAGTAAGACAAATAAGGAGGAATTGTCATTAAAACGTAGTCCCAAGAAGGTGAAGTCTCTAAATAAATTGGAACTTATTGAAACTAAGGCAAAAACAAAGAAAACACCTGAAAGTAAGAAAAATAAAAAAGAATTGTCATTAAAACCTAGCCCCAAGAAACTGAAGTTTCCAAGTAAACTGGAACATATTGAAACTAAAGAAAAAACAAAGAAAACACCTGAAAGTAAGAAGAATGAAAAGCCCTTGTCATTAGAAAACAGCCCCAGAAAAGACAAGTCTTTAAATAAAACGAAGCTTATTCAAATTAAAGAAAAGACAAAGAAGGCACTCACAAGTAAAAAGAATGAAAATAAAAGGTCATTGAAAACTATTTCAAAAGCTAAAAATAAAATAACAAAAACAAAGAGTCAGAAAAAGGATGTAAAGAAATTAAAATCAGCTTTGGAGCAATATATGGTAGAAAATGTTGGTAAATTCAAGCCTACACTTAGAAGTCAAACTGCAAAAAAGAAATAAAAATCAGTTGTATTTTAATAATGTTAAGAGACTTAAAATGAATTGTAATTACAAACATTTGCAAAGTCATTATTTTATTGTGATTGTTCATAAATTCAATAAATAATTTTAATATATCCGCTTTTTCATTACTAAATTAAAAAATAATAGTAAGCAATACATATTTGAAATACACATAAACAAAGAACGAGTAAAACTCATTTTATTTTAGTTTTGTCATTAAGTATATTACAAATATTCAAACTCTTGATTTAAATAAAAATATCACTTTGTTAGATCAAGCTTTTGCAACTTTGCTCTTTTTGATTTCATCCTTCTGTTCTGAAACCAAACTTTTACCTGAAATATGAAATTCAGTCTATTATATAAAAAGAAATCTATTTCAAATTAATTGAATAAAGAAGTAATTCATAAATTTGATTAAATTTGTAGTTGGAGTATTTAAAATGTAGGCAACTTTAATATCACCGGTGTTGTACAAGTAGTATTTGACGAGTGTTTAG